CAATAACGATATTTCTGAATCAAAATGAGAGTTTTATTATTTGTTATTGTTATGGCATGAAAGTCCATTAATTAATAATAGCATTTAAGGTTGAGCTCATCGAATATTGTTAAGCATGACCGATTCCGCTCGTTATGGCTGCAGGAGCATGAGATGACATTGAAATTATATAAACTATGCGCAAACCAACAAACTTTAATCAACAAACATGCATCGGCCGATACATTCATACAATGGGCGCCTTGTGTAGGAGAAACATGGTTTGGCAACTTGTTGAATATAGAGAAACATTAGCAATATATACAGACGTGACTAATATCTAAACTAAAATATCCAAACTATATATATATATATATATATATATATATATATATAATATATACAGTGAATAATATGTTGCTCAAATTAATTCAAAGAGTGGTCCGTGGAAATTTTTGCCCCCGCTGTGAAAATACACTTGTTGGGTAATTCACATTCACACCCCAAAGGTCTTAAGAAAATTTTGGAAGTTGATATGATCACGAACTGACGAAGAGAAGAATAGTCAGGAGATTTCTAGTGCATAAAGTCCACGAAGAACTTTTTGATCACATGGAAAGAAGTGCAAGAATTCGTAAATGTTTACTTTTCACAAGCTAAGAAGATCAGAAATTTGAACAATGGTAAACATGCCTATCATTTGCAGTAGGTCTTGAAGAAATAACGAGAAGAAACAGGAGCTAAAAGGGTTAGGGCAAAAGGGCAACAAAGGATGATAGTACCTTCTTTCGTAAAATAGTAATATTTTTTGAAATGCTTCAATATGTAAAATATATTTCATTTTCTATGACCATATTTCAAACTTCACAACGAATTAACCATTTCCATTCGGATGCTGCGACTTCGGCGGCAAAATACATATAAATCTTGCAATTCGCGAGTGGAAAGGGTTAATTTTATTTTCATATATTTGTATGGAAAAACGCGTTTCGCATAACCAAGTTTCTCCCGGAACGAATAACGTTGAGCGAGGTATCACTGTATATATACTCTTTCATTAAATGATGTTTTTAGTTTCCTATCGTAAATGTGATTTATCTCATTATCATTGTGACATACATATTATTTAATCATTATATTTATATGTGGTTATAAAATCCTCAAACATGTATTATTTGATTAGTGTGATACCAAAAAAAAGAATTCATGATTAAATATAATTTCAATGATTTATTTATATTGACCCTGATGGTATAACTGATAGTCTAGAAACGTTTGTTACTCTATCATTTTATAAATAGTGCTAAAAAGGGTATAATATATCCATATTTTCAAAGATTATTTTTCCCATACAAAATACTTTCTGCAAAGAATCTGTAATTAATCTTGATGAAGTTGATTTTTCCCTCAACTCGTATTCGTAAAATATCACAAAATTGAGTAGAAGTAGTAGATATGTAGCATTATCGAATAAAGAGAACGTTTTCTTCTAAACGATGCAAAAACACAAAGTAAATAGTACTTAAACTAAATAAAATGTAATAATGTCTCAATTAAAGCTTGAAAAACCTCGAAGTTTTTAAATCCTGTAAAGTTCTGCCATTGTTACTGACGAAACACTAATAGACTTTAAGGATATTGAAAGTTTTCGATGACTAACGAGTCTTGAGAGATCGTTAAAGTTCAACAAAAGGAAGTTCTTAAAGTCTGAATGTGAGGAAAGTTAGTAGTTGTACTTGACTCTGTATTATTAAATTTCCTTAATCTCGGGATAAACCAGTGATTAAAATTACTCAAAATTTATTTCTGCAATAACAAAATAATGCAGTTATAAAATAAATAAATCACAATAGTAATAATATCAAAATAGTAAAAAAAACATATTTCTAGAATTAGAAGTTAACTGGGAATTTTATTGAGCAAAGTTTGATTGTTGTTTTTATTAGTTTAGACAGTATAATTACTGAAAGTCGAAATGACTTCTGTGTTTACATATTTCATATGCTTGTGCAAACACTTGAACATACACTTGGGTCGTCTGTGGGCACTGTGAAAATACGCCTGGTTGCGCATTCCTACAGTTGCACATGTATACAGTAACGTCTGTGGCCGGCTTTAGAAAATGTTTCCAAACCCTGCCCATTGTACCGCAAATAAACAACATCTAAGCGCCACGCGTATGAAGATAGAGAATGTTAATCAAAATCTCCTTTCAGCGGCACATCAACTCAAAAAAAAAATGAAGAAAACAAAAAAGTCTCAGAATCGGTACCGATTCCCCTCGCATAGAGGCCGAAACAAGGAAGTATGTCTGAATGCGCGCTAGTGTGTAAATAAATTAGACTTTTTCATCCTACAGTGCGTAACGCAATTCATTGCGGTCATTTGAAAAGGTTACTAGATTACAATTACTTTTTTTTTAAATTTTATTTTTCAGTTCTTCAAGATCAAACGAAACGAAAACACGCGTCTTATCTTTTCTTCTTCTTGACGTCACTAACTCGTTCAGCCTTTTGTGTATGCATAGATATATCTTCTATATTTATAATTTGTATATGTAAAAAATGGCCGTCTAATAATAAATTACAACGCTATAATGTATCAATGTGACTCATGAGCTATTCTCGTTGAGTTCATATTAAATTATTCGTGTTTAATTATGTATGTATTCGATAAACAAAACGATTTCTATACATTTTCATAGTAAATATGAAGGATGATATTGTAATACAAATTTATGAATTAGAATTTTGGGATAAAGAAAATTTAATCAATATGGTGATAATTCTTACTTTAGTGTGTTATAAATAAACAGGGTGACCCAGAACTCAACGTCAAGCCGAAACGGGATGACAGTACTGACTGTAACTGTCATGAAAAATTTAAAAAAAAATCTCACATTGTTTGGAAATTATGAGCTTTTTAAATGCAACCTAGAGCTTTAGTAAAGTTGTAACCATTTGGGCTTGACGTTGAGCTCTGGGACGCCCTGTATAGATAAAATTGAAATAAAATTTAGAAAAAAATAGTTTGATTTTTGTTTTATGTAGATTTTTTGTTTGAAGCATATCACAATTTATCTATAAATCCCAGAATCGTAAATCCAATATAGATATATAGCTTTCTCGAAGTTGAAAACATGATTGTATTTAAACATTTATTATTGAACATTTTTTAATAATAAAATTATTTTTATACGTTTCGATATTTGATACGTGTCATCTTCCAACACGCATTTATCTTTTTTTTGTATTTGTTATTAAATTTTGTAGTGTTTTGAATAAAAAAGAAAAGTAAAATGTTCAGAAACATCTTCAGGTTTTCTGTGAGTTTTTATTGAAATTTAGATAAATTCGTTAAATTTTTAGCGACTCATCATCTTTGACGGCTATAATTTTGTTGATGCGAAAAATTAAAAATTCAAGAATTATTTATATTCGCCTAATAAAACTATTTTTTTTATTTTGGTAAGGTAACACCAAGGTCTACGCTATAAAAGATTGAGATGATTATTTGGATATTTATCTCTATTACCTTTTACTATATAATTATAATATTAGATTAATTCCTATACTGAAAGGCATATATTTATTATATATTCGTATAATATGAAAATAAGAGATCTGCATAAACATTAGTAGAAAATTTAATATTTCTTTCTTATTGCCATATTAATTTAATCATGAATTTTAGTTGTTAATTCTTAATTCTTAATTCCAAGAGCTTTTTGGAAATTCTGTTGATAATAAACAGTAAATGCCAAGTGATGCTAAATCATCTATTAATGTTGTATAAAATAAAATCAAGATTAGAAAGCATTTCATAGTAATCACAATCGTCTAAGTTAATATGACGAGAAATTCTAAAATATAAACAAAATAGATTATAAAAAAAACATCATCTGATTAAGATTGTACTAGAAAATTCACTATATATAAATATTCGAATAAGCAAAATCAATCTGAAGCGTTTACTTAATATATTTCTTAGTATCAAAATAATCGCGACAAAAATACTATGTTACAAGTTTTAGCTTTATAACATGCAGTGATATCATAAGTCATAAATGAACCGGTTTGTATAATTTTATGCGCGAAATTTAAATACATAATCTTAGTTCATTTGCATATTTTATGCAGATTAAAGACAGATAATACACGGTTAAATAATAGAATTGTGCTCATCGCCGATACTGATACACATACAAAGAAAATTATTACTAAATTCAAAGGAGACTTCTCAAATTGATCCTAATTTTTTCATACTTTTTTAAATATTGCGAACATAATGTTGCAACATATATTACAAGAAAATGTAACACTATGTGCTGTGTGCATATTATTGTTAAATGCACGAAGAAGCAAATATTAGTCATGTTGAATATTAATTATCATTTCAATCGTACTTTATATGATCATCATAAATTATTAAAAATAGTTTTTATTCATTTTTTTCGAATATATACTTTTATATACATTTTATTTTATAATTGTTCATGGAATGAAAATTCAAGAAAAATTTTCAAAAGCAAATAATACATAATATTTTCTATTATTATTATACCAAACTATATACCTCAATATAGTATAAAATCGCAATTGAAAATCATAAATAAATCTGGGAACGCATATATGTTAAAATATTCGATTAATATCAACGAGATAATAGTAAAATGTATTCAGAATTAAAAACTATACAATATTTTACGATTTAAAATGTTTATGTTATTGCTATGAAAATTATATTCTTAATTGGTGACCGATTGTAAAAAATATTTAGCAAAAGTACTTTTATTTGTCATATTTTTTTCGTCACTTTTAAAAGTATTTGTAAAAATCACTATTATTCATTATCATTACTATTTTTGAAATGTAATGAATAACTACCTGTTGAACTCATAATATTATATAAGTCGCAACATTTTCAAAAAAAAAAAAAATAACAAAGTTAGATATTATACATTGTAAATTATCGTATTATATTATGTATTCATTATATTAATTTGTTTTTTTTATTTTCAGTCTGATGGGAACACATCGTTCCTTAGGGCTGCTCGGGCCGGCAACTTAGAAAAGGTCTTAGAGCATCTCAAATCAAATATAGACATCAATACTAGTAATGCTGTAAGTATTAATTTAGTAATCTATATTATATTAATAACCTCATCCAGAAAATTATATAAAAATTATTATATAATCATCACATTTCGAAGATGTTTATTATAGCAAGATAATGTTAATTGTGTGATGCAAAATAAGCAAATGATGTAAAAAGACTCTAGAAATAAACAGAACAAAAATTTAGCTTCCTGATCGTTCTGGTTCTTTGAAGATTACTATAACATCATATCACATGCGCGTAAACAACATCATATTTAAATTTGCGAACTATCAACTAATATTTATTTAATTTTCAACTATCTTGATTGACGTATGCATCATCTTAATACATAAACACATGCATTCTTTTTACACTTGTTAGTTCGTATATTTTTATTTTCGATTTTGAATATTTTATAAAACTATGGCGAAACTTAAATGGGTTCGAAAATCAGGCGCAAAGAGTACAAGGTTGCGAACAGATATCTGGCTGTCTTCCAAACGTCAGAGAGAACTTTATTATTTCATTCACTATAGTTATAATAAATATTTATATCGAAAATTAGTTTGATGCTGTACAGAAATATCGCAAATCGCGCAACAGCCGCGTGTGATAACGCGGAAAACATTCGACGCGCAAAAAACGGTTTCCTTTTCCAAATAAACAAAATAGGGTTTATTTTCAGAAAATAACGTGTTTATCATATTACAATAATATCATTATCGTTCAGTAATTTACAGTTGTCATTATCGGAATATAAAATTGCAAAAAATAATAAATTATTAGAGGTAGAAGCACACGCATCAATAGAAGTTCTATGAATTGCCTTACCGCTCATCAGGGGAAAAATAAAGTTTGTTAGCTTAAAGAGGTATTCTGTGTAGAGGCATGAAAACAATATTTTTACTATATACTTTAAAAGTTATAAATTCGTGTTTTGTGAATAAAAAAAAACAACAGCTACAAATAGTCATAAAATACGAATTCTACAACGTGATGTAGTCTCAAAATTTTCACCTGACCTTACAAATAATCTGAACAAAAATCATTTAAATAAATATATTATCAATCTAGAATAATGTCGCAACTGTATAAACTACGGACAAGTTAAAGAAATGTTTTTTTTTTTAACAAAATAGCGACTGTTTGAAAAAAAATCTCAACTTTATTTTACATTCTAGAATTTTTAAAAATAGTAAAACTTTGCATTTAGGTGTTAGTCTAGTTAGTGGAAGTTGAGAAATCGTGAGTATCGTATCGAAATAGTTTTTTGGAGAAAAACGCGTTTAAGGTTTTGCGGAGTGAGGAAACAGAGGAGGATTGTCGTGGTCAAACAGCTATATCCCCAAAAATAATTTAAATTTTGAAAAATCCTCTTAAACACATTTTTTTGAATATACTTTGAAAATATTAAAAAAAATCGTTTTCAAAACATTCTAAATCAAAATACACCCTTAACAATGATTAAAAGAATTAAGGAGTATTATAATATCAAGCCTTATGAAGGTTAGGATATTAGCAGAGACGTCTGGATATCCTTTATATACACTTATAAAAATTTATACAACTTTCAATAATATTAACCCTCGATCAATAGAACTGAACTATTATAAATTATGTCGATCTTAATTTGAAGATTTTATATGTATTATTTGTTGATTTAAATATTGATTTAAATATGCGTTCTAAGCAACGATGCAATTTGCATGTGATGTGATTTTCATCTGTGTGATCTACAATAAATTTGAAGCATTTAACTAAAATAACATAAAAATATAGAGAAGGAAGCCACAGTATAAACTGTTTTCTTAATCGTTCATATTAAATATATATATATATATATATATATATATATATATAATTAGTATAGTTTATTTTAATTTGGAATAAAGCCAATGACATGAATGTTTAACGCAATTCTAATATTGGATGAGAGCGGGTGTCTGGTTAAATTATGGAGTTTATCTGGTTAAATTTATTATAGGCGAGGTCATGATTAAGATTATTGTATAGACGAGAACCTCGATGATTTAGTGATGTAAACAATCTATGCGTCATGGCCAAACTTCTGGCAAAATCAACTACTGCCGAATTCTAAATCTTAAACAAAAATTGTACTATTAACCGATTAATTCATATTAATGTTATGTTGTATTTTTTATGCAGAATGGCCTCAATGCTTTGCACTTAGCTTCTAAGGATGGTCATGTGGCGGTTGTACAAGAATTACTCAAAAGAGGTGCAAATGTTGACGCCGCCACAAAGAAGGGTAACACAGCGCTTCACATCGCTTCGTTGGCTGGCCAAGAAGAAGTGGTAAGTGAATGAAAAAAAATTATTTGAATTATTATTTATGAAATATACAGTTTATACCCAATGTATTCAAATCCATAATCATAGATTTTATCATATATTTTCTAATATTAATTTTAATCTATTTTCATCGTACAATTAAGCGCCGGATGTCATTCTATATACCAATTGATTTATTCAACAGGTCAAATTATTAGTTCCTCATGGCGCTTCCGTAAATGTTCAGTCTCAAAATGGATTTACGCCATTGTATATGGCATCACAAGAAAATCATGACTCAGTTGTTAAATATCTCCTTGCAAATGGAGCAAACCAAAGTCTCGCGACAGAAGTAAGTGCCTCCGAAAATAATATATTTCAAAATGTGGCAAAATGAATTTTTGTATTTACTTGGTATTTTCTGTAGGATGGATTCACACCCTTGGCTGTAGCCATGCAACAAGGGCATGACAAAGTTGTCGCAGTTCTATTAGAAAGTGACACAAGAGGTAAAGTACGCCTACCTGCACTTCATATTGCAGCAAAAAAAGATGACGTCAAAGCAGCAACGCTTCTCTTAGAGGTAAACTTAAATAAAACTAAATCATTAATTTTTTTTAAATTAAATATGTTGGGAAGATAAATGTATTAATTCAATATCTCTATCACATGGAACAATGTATCAAATAAAATTACATATTTTCAATTCGTTCTAATCCTGCATATATTATATTTCTCAGAACTAATTTTGTGTTTTTCTTTTCTTTACTAATGCAACAAAACTAACAAAAACATTGAATAAGAACTGTCTAGATTAAACTGTAACTTTATGGGTACAGTCGACATCCAAGTGCTGTACATTTTGTATATGTGTTAATTTTAGGGTTATGATTATGCTGTCTGTTGACTGTCATTATTTGAAATATCAACAACAATTTATATTATATATACAATATTTCTAGAAGCTTTACATTACGTTTTTCAAAAAAAATTCGATCATATTCATATCATCGTAAATTCATTTATTCATTGGGGTGTATCTGTTTTCTTCCCTTTGCATTCCTTGCGTGTAGAACGAGCACAACCCGGACGTTACTTCAAAGTCAGGGTTCACTCCACTACACATCGCATCACATTATGGCAATGAATCGATAGCCAACCTGCTGATTCAAAAAGGTGCAAATGTAAACTATGCCGCCAAACACAACATCAGCCCTCTCCACGTGGCGGCCAAATGGGGGAAAACAAATATGGTCGGATTGCTTGTCGATAAAGGGGCAAATATCGAAAGCAAAACCAGAGATGGTCTCACGCCACTGCATTGTGCGGCTCGCTCAGGACATGAACAAGTGGTAGATATGTTGCTGGATCGCGGCGCGCCCATCAGTTCAAAGACCAAGGTAAAAAATAAATGACCGATTAAATCTCAGCAAAGGGTTTCATTATTCTTTAGCTTTTGTGTTTCTGTGTCATGCTCACCAAATTCCATCGATTGTCATATCAATTTTGTTGCATGTGCAGCGTTTGTCTATAATCATCAATCAACATAAAGTTGGTACATCAAAGTTGCATTTTTCTACCATTTGTGATCATTATTTTAAGTAATGCCTTAGAATGTTTATACATTTAATTTTTTAGCAGCTGCGATTTTTTAATATTTAAGGGCCGTTCAAGTATTACGTAAGCACTATAGGGGGGACAGGGGGTTTGATTTGCTTATTTTGTGTTGACATGGGGGGCAGGAGAGTCTGGATGATGATTACGTCATAGGTAGTATTTTTATTTTTTTACATTAATTGCAAAATGTTTACGTAAGCTTGGGGGTAGGGGGTAAGAGCTTTGCTTACTTTTGTTGACAAGGAGGAGGGGTAAATAACTTTTTTGTTGAGGATTAGGGGTAATTGTAATAAATCTGCTTACGTAATACTTGAACGATCCCTTATATTCGAAAAAGTATTTATTTGTGTGTTGGTTAGTTTTCATGTGATTAAATATTATATTAGCGAAGTAATATGCTAATATTGAAAATAAACATTTTAGAATGGTTTGGCGCCTTTGCACATGGCAGCTCAAGGCGAACACGTGGATGCAGCGCGTATCCTGCTTTATCATCGCGCTCCAGTCGATGAAGTTACTGTGGATTATTTAACAGCACTCCACGTAGCAGCTCATTGCGGACATGTGCGTGTTGCAAAGTTGCTGCTGGACCGCAGTGCTGATGCAAATGCACGAGCCCTAAATGGTTTTACGCCTCTTCATATCGCTTGCAAAAAGAATCGCATCAAAGTAGTCGAGCTGCTACTAAAACACGGAGCGAGTAAGTCCATCATTTTCTATTGTGTCCAATATTTTTTTGTCTTGCGATTAAAATTTCTTCTTCATGGCTTTTCTTGATTCAGGTATTAGTGCAACTACTGAAAGTGGTTTGACGCCACTACATGTTGCCAGTTTTATGGGATGTATGAACATCGTAATATATCTCCTTCAACATGAAGCTAGTCCTGACGTACCGACAGTTCGAGGAGAGACACCATTACATCTAGCTGCAAGAGCTAACCAGGTTTGTATTTAACTCTCTCCTTGTATTAAGATATTGGTATGGTCATTATCCAAAGATATGAATTGAATCAAATGAAATAACAATTGATTGAGTGTGGTTATTATTTTCAGACGGACATAATTCGCATTCTGTTGAGAAACGGTGCCCAAGTGAATGCTAGAGCACGAGAGCAACAGACGCCACTTCACATTGCATCGAGGCTTGGTAATGTCGACATTGTAATGCTCCTGCTTCAACACGGAGCGCAGGCGGACAACACCACCAAAGACATGTATACGGCACTACACATCGCTGCCAAGGAAGGACAAGATGAGGTAAAGAACTTAGTCGCTAGACGAATCATGGATCACATCGACACAGTCTATCTTATGCAGCTCTTCTGGATCAGGCATCAAGAGTACCTCATCTAAGCCTAAGTTTTCGACTGCAAGTTATTTTTTGACGTAAAATTTAGAAATGCGGATTTCTAAACTCCTCTTGTCAATTTATTGTATTTATTCGAAAACTTTACATGATCTACTACACCGAATTATATTCAAGCAATTTTTCTTACATATAATGAATTGACTGATAAATACTTAGAACTACATTTTGATCATTTAGTGAATGTGGAATAAAAACGGTTGTGTCACACATGCATCATTACATTCGGTTCTATACCCAACAAATGTCTCAAAAGGTACCCAACTAAATTGCATTAATTCTATAATATATTTTTCACGATATCAAATATATTTTTATATTTGTTATATAAATTTAAATCTCATAATTTAACTTTATATGGTAAGATGCATGTGGAATATTATTAGGCGAAAAGTTTAAATTAATTTTTTTATTGATATATACTGCCATTTATAAAGTAATAATACTTGAATTGAAAATTGCATTTTTATATGTCGATAAATATTTTAACAGTCATCTTGCAATGATAAATGTGTCAATTTCTACTTAACTTCAACCAAGTATTTATGTACAATAGTTTTACGTGCCAAATATTAGAAATATATTTAACCTTTTATATGAGTAATGAAAAAAGCGTGCTGTAATGATTTCCCATATTTTTATATACCCTATAAATTATTGCCATTGAAACAAAAGTGATATATTTTAGAAAAAATCTTTCTGCCATGATTTAGAATCAAAAACTTATACGAATAACTCGTATAATATTCGTCGTTCTAACACTAACTATTTATTGTTAAATTTGTGAATTATAATTGGGAATTGGTTTAAAATAAGGTATGCACTCTTCCTTCAGTCCTTCTAATACAATATCAGTTTTGTGATCAATAGTGATCTTGTTGTTAATTATGATCTACTATATTTATACAAGTTTATAAATGACCTGGATTGTTATATTTACGTAGTTTAATAAAATTTAATGTTATTATTTAGTTTTTATTTCCTTAATTTTGATTATTTTTTTGTTTAAATATCTCTGGCATTGATGAAGGGAAAAGTCTAAGGAACAGTGCTTACCAAACTATATGATAAACTAATCGTTTCTAAACTCCGCCTGATGCAGCTTTCCCCTTCATCGTCATGGATTAGAAATAAAACTATTCTGATGACATAGCTAATGCATGCATGTACAGAGATATCACGTATTAATATCGCCATTTTCGAAGCAATTTGCTTAAAGATTTTTTTAATATCTCGTGCCGTCTTGTTACAATGGTATAAGTTTGACCGCGGAAGAATTTCAATTAAAGTTAAGTATGTATCAGGTAGGAGTGTGTACAAAATGCACTAAAATTTAGAAGAACTACTTGCCACTTTACAAGCAGCTAGTTCTGTGTTTGATTTTTCATATAACAATGGTATAATGTTTTATGACAATGGACTAATTTGTAATTTAACTAATTTTGAACCCGATATCTATTTGCATTATATTAAGTTATGATATAGAATATTTATATTTATGGTTGCCCTGATAAAATAACAATCACCAGTGAATTTGAACAAATCACCAAACGTTAACTGATCTTAAAACAACATTGAAAAATGTTAGATCATATATAAAAGTGTGAATTAACAAATAAGTTATGTTAATATAAACCGAATATATTAAACATTCAGTTTGCAATAAATTTACACAGTTTGCATAAATTTGTTCATTTGCAACATTACAGGTAGCAGCAGTTCTTATAGAAAATGGTGCATCATTGACTGCCACTACCAAGAAAGGTTTTACGCCGCTGCACTTGGCAGCAAAATATGGTAACATGAAAGTTGCAAAGTTATTGCTGCAGCACGATGCACCGCCGGACGCGCAGGGTAAAAATGGGGTGACGCCATTGCACGTGGCAAGTCACTACGATCACCAGAATGTGGCTCTGTTATTACTCGATAAGGGTGCATCTCCACACGCTGCCGCCAAGAATGGGCACACACCACTACACATCGCAGCAAGAAAAGAGCAAATGGACATCGCATCTACTTTGTTGGAGTATGGTGCACAAGCAGATGCTGAAAGTCGCACCGGATTTACTCCACTGCATCTGGCTTCACAAGAAGGTCATGCGGATGCAGCATCTCTGCTATTAGAGCACGGTGCAGTAGCCGACAAAGCCTCTAAAAATGGACTTACGCCACTACATTTGTGTGCGCAGGAAGACAAAGTCAAAGTCGCTCAAATATTACTTAAAAATGGAGCAAAAGTTGATGCTGAAACAGCGCAAGGATATACACCTCTGCACGTGGCAAGCCATTATGGTCAAGCCAACATGGTGAGATTTTTGCTAGACAACGAAGCAGATGTCTCTGCTCGTACATCTATAGGCTATACTCCTCTGCATCATGCCGCTCAACAAGGACATTCACATATTGTCAATATTCTTCTTGCCAATAAAGCTCAACCAAACACAGTAACTGACGTACGTATATTGCATCAAAATTAAATTAAGTCAATTTACTTTCTCTAATAATTTCATTTTTTAATTAACAGAGCGGTCAAACACCATTGGACATTGCACAAAAGTTAGGTTACATCAGCGTTCTAGAGGCGCTGAAAGTTGTAACTGATCCCAAGGCTTCCAAAGTAACATATGCTAATGATGAAAAATATAAAGTTGTAGCTCCTGAAGCCATGCATGAAGCATTCATGTCAGATTCGGAAGAAGAAGGAGGTACATATTAATATTTACATAAAAGCTTTTGCAACATGCTTGGCATTGAAAAAATGATGAAAAATATACAAAAGACATCATTTTTTATATAATTGAAATATATTCTAAGAGCGAGGTAAATGATAATATTTCAGAAATATGTTTCTCGAAGACTGAAATATTATTTATTAAAATCAAAATAATTAAATGCGTTAGAAATTGTTATTTTTTAATTAGTAATACATCGAAACATGTAACTAAAATACATGGCAATAATAATTTTTTAGGAGAAGACACTATGATGACGGATCAGCCATACAGATACTTAACAGTGGATGAAATGAAATCTCTTGGAGACGACTCACTGCCCATGGACGTTACTGGGGATGAACGCATAGATTCAAACCGTATGGTCACCAGTGTAGAATCGGCAATTCTAGGACCTCACTCTGCTATGGAAGATAGCATTAGTCCCCAGCATATTGGACAAACTTATGCAGAACATTACATTAAAAATGTGGATAATGTCGATATTAGTTCACAACCAGTTCACGTTGGGTATGTATTAGCAATACTTTGAAATTATTAGATTTTCAAATATTTTTATAATCATCATGATTTGATGCAAGTTCCAAGTACAAGTAAATTCGCATCTTTTAAGTTTGAGAAATATTTACTTAACTAATATTCAGATATAAATATGTTGAAATATAATAAATACTCTATTTATTCAATTAGTGATTATCTTTAACAATAATAATTGTATCAATTAATATTAATATTAACTAACGAATTATATTCTCCTATGCCTTAACCAAACGGAATCAACAGAAAACTACATTGGAGGAAAGTGAGTAATCTCAATGAAGTGCTATTATTGTAGATGTGCAAAATTAGAAGTTAAATCACATATATTGTGTAGTATGTTAAATACAGCAATATGTATATTTGTCTGTGATTAATATCACATTGATGGTGTAATTTATGGCACAATGTTATATAAATGTAGCAATCTCTATTTTGCACCATTTGGAAGTGTATATAAAAATCAATATATATTGTACAAATTTGTGTGGTAGAATTATCAAATGGTATAAAAAAACCATTTATGAGTGTTGGATTACACAAACTGATGTTGTGAAACTTTGTATTGATTTACTGGACAACACAAATTAAGAAAAAAAACTTTCAGTTTCCTGGTATCGTTCTTAGTGACGCACGAGGTGGAGCGATGCGTGGATGTCGCCACAGTGGCGTACGCGTCATAGTGCCACCAAAATCGGCACCACAGCCAACTCGAATAACGTGTCGCTATGTGAAACCCCAACGAACGCCCATCCGCCGCCTTTGATGGAGGGAGAAGCTTAGCGAGCGGGTGCTCGAACTAGGACAGTCGGCGCAAAGTTCTTGGGGTAAATGGAATTATTAGGGCAAGAAGAATATTTTATGCAATGTTATTCACACCAAGTTTTAATCAAAGTACATGTTTTACATGTATGTAATCTATTTTTTTTATTTATAGACCGGTGATATTGGAAGTTCCTCACTTTGCATCATTGCGCGGAAAAGAAAGAGAAATTGTTATTTTGCGATCTGACAATGGTGAGACGTGGCGAGAGCACATTGTGGATGCTTCTGAAGACATAGTGCACGATATGCTGAATGACAGCTTTGAAGCTGATGGTAATTTTTTCTCATTTCGATTTTTTTGCAAATGATCAAATACTTGCAAATGATCAAATACTTTGGATTCACATTGGGGGCAGTTGGTCATTTTCACTTTATTATTTTTATTTTAGATTTGAGCCAAATGGAAGAGCTTGTTTCCGGTCGTCTTACCCGTATCTTAACAAACGACTTCCCACAATATTTTGCCGTGGTTTCTCGCGTA